CCATTTTTCCGCCCCTGACACGTGATCCGCGGCCATTTTTCCGCCCCTGACACGTGATCCGCGGCCATTTTCCACCCCCGACACATGGTCGTAGGGAGGGGGACTCTCCCTCCAAGCAATAGCCGCCTCCCTGTCCTCCACGCCAGAACGGATTAACGGTAATTACATTGAACCTTAAGGGAAAATTTGCTTTGGGTCGTGACCAATTTGGGTCGCGACCAGAGTCACGGAACGAATTAAGTTCGTAAACCGAGGTTCCACTGTATTTGTCCATGAACTCACCACAAGATAAGTTCAACTTGAAGGAGACTGTCTCTTTAAATTTGATGGTAACCCACAAGACTTTTATCTTTTAATTTTGCCATTAAAAAATTTAAGATAAGGACCAAAATCCCCAAGGGAATGTGTCAGGTTTTGCTACCTCGGAATGAGATGACTCTTAGGATGGAAAATCTACCAACTGCTGATAAATTGCACTGATCCATTATGGCTTGATTGTTTCTAAGCCAGAAGGTAGTCTGTTAGGTTTTGGCTTAGACAAGAAATGGGTAACCTACAGGTCATATGCATCCCCCTGCACCCCAAGTTTTTTACAGTATGATCTGGTGGCACGAGGGCTGATTTTCAGCAGTGTGAGTTTTTGTTTTTTTTTAATGGGTTGGAAACAGGATGCCCCTGGGAAACAAACCACACTTATTTCCACCTTTTTTTTAAAAAAATGATCCAAACTGAGCCACTGTAATTTGGCTCTTCTACCTCCCAAAAGCCTGAGATTTCTGTTTCTACCTTAAAAGAAAAGAAAAGAAAAGAAAAGAAAAGAAAAGAAAAGAAAAGAAAAGAAAAGAAAAGAAAAGAAAAGAAAAGAAAAGAAAACCCATTCCATCATCATACTTCTATCATCAACTGCAGTTGTCCACCAGCTTTCCAAGGAAAGTTGCACATTTTTGCTTAGGTTAATATGGGAACCAAGCTATGGCATGTTCATCAAACCATAATTAAAAAAAACAGATTAACATTGCATGAAGCCAATTTATGACTCACCAAATGGCACATGACCATGGCAGTTTGAACCTGTGAACCTGTTTTTAAGAGACTCCGAATAATTCATCTTTTCCTCCCTCCGAAGTTATACCATTCACCCTTTGCCTCCCTATTTAACAATCCTCACAGACCTGAATTCTGCAGCTATCATATAAAACAGTTGTCAAGAAAATAAATCCAATTAAACTTTTTGCTGTGAGGCTGAACTATAGGCTAAAGGCCAAACCACACAGTTTTACTCAGACAGAAAAATAACATGCAAGCATTTTGCACAGCCTCACACTTTGACTCTTAATTATTGTTGTGCAATTACAGATCCTTGGTTCAGTCCGCCTTCCTGAGGCAAGTACAGGTTCAGGTCATTGTTTTCAAACATCTAAAAAGGACTCTGATGTGACTGCAAGGACAATTCCATTGTTTTGTGTTTGATCCACTATAGACAGAAAGGTCTTCAAGCCACAAGTAGGAATGTACTGTGGATTGTTCATGAACAAATTACCTCCCTACTTTGTTTTAGCCTATCTTTTAATGTTGCCCACCAGCTTAATTCTAATAACTAAACAGGATTGTCTCAAACCATGGTTTGAAATATTGCTATCAATAAATCAGTTAGATATCTAGATGCTAAAAGATGAGTGGAATAAAGAATGAGAGGTTCTTATCTTGCCTAGACAATGGGAGAGTGTCTTAACTTTTATAGCGAGAGTGTCAATGGGCCTTAAACTATGACTGATACAACAAAAAGTATTTAGAATTTATTGGACTCCATTACATTTGTATAGAAAAGGATAGTCTAAGACAACATCTTGTTGGAGATGTAATAAGGACAATGCTTCTTCAAAACACATGTTTTTACAATGTCCCATGCTTACTATGTTTTGGGAGAAAGTAGTGGACCATATAAATGTGACTGTGTGACAAAAACTAAAATTCTCAGAGGATAATATTATTTTGAATTATATACCTAGTACATGGAATTTGACAACTGGACAATGTAAATGGATTCCCCATGCCCTTACTATGGCTAAGACTTATACTGCAGCATTGGAAAGATAAATGTATGGCCCCATTTACTCAATGGAGTAAAGACCTGATTACACTTGCCACCTATGAGCAGATTGCCAATAGACATAGACTTTGTATGGACATGTATAAAATATAGGACTCATTTATACAAAATATAGAAGGTTAAGAAAAAGCATGATAGTTAAATAAATATTAGAAATATATATATATATGCATGTTTATATTAGAAAATTATAGAATTGTGATTATTGTTGTATCATACTATATTTTATATTTTTTGTTATATTCTTTTCACTTATTTCTTTAAGCACTTAAGTATTTTTATTTGACAATGTGTGTATTTTTTGTGTTCTGTTCCCTTTTTTCTTTTTTTGTTATTTTAAAAGCAATAATATAAAAAACATGGTTTGAACAGGCTTGAATAACATGATTGAAGGACATACCACTAGTCTTTAGCAACAAATCAGAGACTCTCTCATAAGACAAAGAGAGGAGAAGGTTACTGGGCTGTAGTTTAGAACATACCTGAAGTCAATCTGAGACTCCACAAATGTAAGGACGACGATAAAGACACATTTCTCAGATAACTAAACCATGAAAGTGCGGGAGCATGCTTTGCCTGAAGAACTTAGTATTCAGAAGACTTCATTTGAGGAGTTCTCCCCCATACTATAAATCACCTAGAGAAAAACCCTACTGTTAATAAAATATAAATGTTGCAACATTATATACATTTGCTGAGTTTTAAACACTTTTCTCACCAAATGTCTTTTTACATCACCATTCAAGGAATGCAAGTATTGATGTTGCAATAAGCATATGGAAACAGGGTATTTGCATCTCCACAGAGACCAACAGTGGGATCCTATCTATACTGAAATCCCATAGTATTTATTCAAAACTCAGCTCCACTGAATTCAGAGGAATTAACTCCCAGCAAAACTGCCTAAATCTGAGGCCCAAAGAAAACTTTGTATATGATGAGTCTACTGCAGCGGAATAACTTCTGGATGGAAACTGTGTCCCCACCTCGGAAGGAAGAAAAAATGATGCCTATACAGTACTCTTTATTTTGCTGTATGAATGTGATCTAGCATGTTTTTATCATATGCGTACCTCCTTGTAACCCTTTGCCATCAGAGCACACAAATACACTGCAGCCACGCAAAAGCACAATGTAAATTTCATCCTATATAAGGTGTTCAGTGTCAATCCAATCGATGAAACTTTACAGTATCTGCATTTAGAATCAGGCTGGGATGGTACTTGAAATACTTGCTCTGAAAAGCATGGGGGGGGGTAACCCGAACAACTGCAAACACTTTTCCAGCCATACAATATGCAGTAGGACTTCATCTCATACAAATACACGCCTGACTGGTCCCAGATCTTAAAAAGCTCCCCCCCCACACACCCATTTTTCAATTCATGCCAAAAGTCCCAGGTTCAGTCCCGATCATGTGCAATTAATAGGAACTTCAAAACAGCCTGAAGAACTTCTGCCTGCATTCATACAAAATGCTTACGGGGGTTACCTACCGAACCCTGAATCCGGGTTTGCAAAAGTTAAGCACATTAAGCCGCCGCTCTAAGCGAGCTTAGTATGGCATTTGAACACAGTTGCCTGATCTTTACCCGACCAGAGGAAGTGTATTGTGCGAATACAGCTAATATTGGTTAGTCCCGCTTTCTCGACCAGGTGTCTTCTCTAATACGCCAGATGACAATTCCCATTATCCCAAACCCTCTATGTTCCTACGGCTGCTCATTCAGAGTTGTCGCGCCGCCCCGAAAGAAGAAAGGAAGCTTTCCAGAGGTGGAATGCGAATGCACATAGCCAAGATTCCCAAGGGGTCCCAGGCGAACTAGCCGCGGGCCAAAGACTCCCTGGAAGCGGCCACCTTCTCCCCCGACCTCCATTCCCAAAGCCGCGGCGGCCTCACTTACACGTCGCGCTGAAGTTGCGTTCGCTCGGCAACAAGGCTACGGAAGGTACGCGCTCGGCTCGGGGTCGCCACTCCGGCGGAAGAGGAGAAGAGCTACGCTCAGCCGGCGGCGGCAACACGGCGCGGAAGGGCAGCCGGGCAGAAGTTGGCATCGGGGGACCGAAGCAAGGTTGCCCGCCGCACACCCCATCGCTTTGATCGCAAGGCTCGAGGACCGCCGCAAACCGAGCGGCAGCTGGAGAAAGCGACCGGTCGTGGCAAATTTTGCCCGCCTTCTATCGCCCACCCGGCGGAGTCTTAGCGGGAGCAACAGGCTCCCCGCAAGCGCCCCCTCCCCGCTGCCGCCGCAAGAAGAGCCCTCCAAATCACTTAAGCTCCCGCGGAACCAATCAGGGGCTCCGGGATTTTCGAGCCCGCCCACAGCCAAGAGCGGATGGCCGGTCTGTCTCCGCGATGACTGGTTAAGAAGTTGCTGGACCCGTCGCGACGGCGCTCAGCGGACTCGACGGTACCTGAAGAGGAGGTTGAGTGTTCGCCCTTCTGTTTTGAGGGGGAACAAAATCCTCTTTTGTGTAATCATCGTTTGCTGTATGAAACGGTGGGCTGCATCCTCAAAACGCTAAGCACCCAAGGAAACGAAGCCCCTTTGGGCTTAGCGAAGTTGGTGAAACGAACCCAACCGAAGTTTCCCCCTATTCTTCCAGCAGAACCTGGAAAAGAGCTTCTTAGAGGCTCTGCTCCCCCAAAGTAACTCAAAAGGCCAAGAGGGGAGTTGCATAAACGTTTCCCATTACATCGATAAATCCATCATTTCCCACAGTTTGAGATATACCTGATGCCAAACTAGCCTTGGATTTAGATACATCTTTGCAGCCTTTGCAAAAAAACAAACAAAAAAAACCCACTAAGGTGGTTGGGACTTGGGTAGTATTTGGACTGGACTACAAATTCCAAGGACTATACTAAAAATTCTGGAAGGGCAGTTTCACAGAGCCTCTGCACTGCTACCAATGTGGACATGTTAATGCAATCCACTAGGGGTCACACTCCACTGCAGTGTTTATTTATTTAATTATTTTTAATTATTTATTTATTTATATTTCTCACCCACCCATCTCCCCCCAATGGGGGAACTCAGCCTTGGCAATTTTAAGATATCTGGACTTCAACTCTCAGAATTCTGGGAGTTAGAGTCCACACATCTTAAAGTTGGCAAGGTTGAGAAACACCACTCCACTGAGTCAGATACATCTAGGCCAGTGTTTTTCAACCTTGGCAACTTTAAAATCTAACTCACACATCTTAAAGTTGCCAAGTTTGAAAAACACTGATCTAGGCCAATATTGTTGGTGCTGCTTTCAACTCACGGTTTCAACTGAGATTCTTTCCTAGCCTTACCTGGAGATATCAGGAATGTTCTGCAAAACAGAATACTCTGCATTAAAGCATTTGCACAATCACTGAACTTCCTCCAGCCAATAGCAATTAGGCCTCAAACAGCTTTTGAATTCCCTTTTTAAAGCAAAAATCAAAGAGGATCAATAGCATCCTGTTACTTTGTTACACACTGAAGATGATCAGGGGCTAAATATTAAAACTTATGCAAAGCGATTTAATGAGCTGTATCTGTTTCATCTTGAGAAAAGATGACCCGAGTTGTGGTCGTATAGGACATTACAGTACCTGAAATGGTGTTATATTAAAGAAGGTCAAGATCTATTGTATCTCATTCCAGAGCACAGGACACAGAAGAATGAATTTAAGTTTCAGGAAGGTAGATTCCAAATGAATTATTTTTAAAAGAGATACATATCATTAAAAGCAGTTTGACAGTAAAACCAATTACTGTAGTAGGTTCCCCTTCACTGGATGAGTTCAAGCAGAAATTAGATGCTCACCTGTCTGGCATGTTTTAATTTGAATTCCTGCCCTGAGCAGGGCATGATATGATGATGATGATGATTAATTATGCACCTTTAACAAGGTGAAGCACAGAACAAAATCAAAATAAAACAAAACCGTAACACAGTAACAAATCAATCCAATATTAGCTGAGAACCCAGTAAACAATTAACCCTAAAACAATGAACAGAAAAACAGTACATTTAAAGCAGTGCCTGGGGACAGGACTGAATCTATTTACATCCATAATAATTTAAGACAGGTGTTAATGTGGAACTGCAGCTAAACAGGAGTAATGTAGAATATCCAAACTGTATGGTAACCCACTAATCAAATAAAAAGCTCTTTAAATCTCTTTTATGGTACAGCAATCCCATTTTTCTACAAAGATATCATTAAATACTTGGCTAGAGAGTAATCATAGCAACTATATGTAATTACAAGTAAATTCAAATGGAAATGAGGTTCAATACAATTTAATCTTAGCAGGCCCTGCCCACTACTTTTGGGGATGTGGCCTCCAGCAGGTCACTGAAAAGGTATTCTGTATTCACCTAATGTTTCATTTTGCTAGATGGCATTTACTTTTGAATAGGCAGGTAGGATTAGATTGTGCTAATCTGAAACAACCAAAAAGAAGAACAGTAAACACCATGGTGGCCATCCACTTTTCACCAGCCAGTTACTGGCAAAGAATGAGTAGCGTGGTTACTTTCCAAAGGATACTTGAGAGCATTCATAACATAATTTTCCAAAGTGCTTTTAAAATAAATGCTTCAAATGCTTTTTATGCTACATTTTAGAAACAATCATATGTCAGATGCCTTCCTGTTTACATGGAATAAGTTGCACTATTTATGCAGAAGTCAACTCTTAATACCACTTGAACCAGATGTATATTAATAAATCTTGTTTTTAAAGCAACAAGAACCATTTGTGGTAATAGATTTTTCTGAGAACTTAATGCTGGGCTGATAGGAGAAGACAGGATTATCTAGTCATGCTGTTAAGAATTCCAGAAGTTGTAGTCCAAAACATTTTGAAACTCCACATTTTAAAAGAAACAAAATGGCTGAGCAATGACTGCTTTCAGATTTCAGCTGAAGATTGTGCTGTTTACTTCTGCTCCTCCTGTTTTTGCCCTAGAAAAGCCATATATTCAACAATACTGGATCACCTTGTGATGAAAACTGAGGCAATACATGATGGGGAGAGAAACAGACAAACGTTGGCCACATCCCGGGGGATTTATTTCAGGGAAGTAGGAGTGTGCTCAAACCACTTCTGCCTTGAATCTTTCATACATTTATTTGTTTATTAAATTTAGAAGGCTACCCAACTCCATAAGACTCTGGGTAGCATACAATGTTAAAAATAGTAAGATAGAATACAACAAAAACAAGAATAGAACCAGAGTATATCCAGTACACTTACAATACATAAAGACTGCATTCACACAGTGGTTTTACCATGGCTGTTAAAAACCTAGCAATTGTATTCAGACAACATGTTTAGCTTAGTATGAACCCTGATTTTTTTTTCCTGTGGCTTAGCATATTTTGTCCCCCAAATAATGAATGAGTCCTGTTGTATTTGCTGATAGAAATAGAAAAAAATATATTGAAAACAAAGCAATGAACAGGAGGTACAAATCACTGTAGGCAACCGGCTGCAAATGTCCTGAAGCATCCAGGATTTCAGCCAGAGTGGACAACTACAAACTGACAGGAGGGGAAATTAGACATTCCACAGAATGTTTTTTTCCAATTTCTTCTTCTCCTTCTCTTTCCCTTGCAAATAGCATTCTACAAACCCAGAGAAATAAGTTGATTCAGTGGGCATGTTGTGTGAACTGCATCTGTTTTCACCTTTGGAAGGTTCTCTAGAAGGGACAAGATGCAGTAGGTGGATAGTGGTGGTGCTGAACATCGATACTGTACAGGGACCACTGACTTCAAGCTTGCTACCACAGTTATGTTCAGTGTTCAGACCAAAGCAGCACTGCCTCATACAAGGTGGCAAAACCTAAATGACCTTGGCTGATCTCCAAAATGCTAAGTAGGGTCTGACCTGGTTAGCACATAAATGGAAGGCCTTAAAAATCCTAGGGTTTTGTATTAGACTAGGAGGTTGAAAAAAATCCACATCTGAATTACTGTCAAGAAAATGATATGCTTTCGCTCCAGCTCTTTTTCTTGGAGACCTAGTTATACCAAATGGTGCACCTAGTTTGAGTGCAAACACCTGGATCTGGTTTAACTTCATCTCAGTTAACTTTTGGTTAAAGCTAATTGACTGGATCAATTGAACCTTTTGCAGTGTTTCCACAAACTGCCAATTGCTTCTGTTGAGCCAGGTAAACATGCTGTGGAAACAGAGCTCATGTGCAAAACCTCCTTTAAGTTCCAGGAATGGAACAAAGAAAGAACCTCAGCTTGCTTGTTACAGTCCACTTGGGAGAAGCTGGGGCTGATCCCTTAAGACCCATATCCTGGTTTTGTATAACACAAAGTAACGTAGAAAGAAGAGAGTCGATATAGTGTAAGATGTGTATTAGGATTGGGAAGACCCAGGTTCAAGTCTGTTCTCAACCATGGAAACTCAATGGGCTAGTCACTTACTCTCAGCCTAACCTATCTCACACAATTGTTCTTGAAGGAGATTCCAGGGAACCACACTTCTGCTCTTGGATGAAAAGCAGAATATACGTTTAATATATAAATATACTCAAAATTACTTTTTTTCTAGGATTAGTCCACATAGATTGGCATCATCACTGGCCAATCATTATCTCATGTTTCTCTCTTGGGACTTCCTTGTTTGGTATATTTAGTACAAGTTGTAAAAAATTACCCTTTTTTATAATGCAGCTGTCTTAAGAAATCCAAATAAGTGGATAGATGCATGTTGTAACTCCCAATTCAAATGTGTGTGCCTGAATATTATTATTATTATTAATTAAATATTATATAGCTGCCCACTCCAGTGGACTCTCAGTGGCTTACAAATATAATATTAGATTAAAACAATTAAAAACAAACAAAATGAAGACAGCCTGGACTAAAAACAACCATTAAAACAAAGCACATGAACATATTAAGTCCAGGCCTAGGACCAAAGCCAGGTCTTAAGGGCTTTTTGGAACCCCAGGAGAGAGGGCACCCTGTGTATCTCTGGGATGCTGTTCCAGAGGCTGAAGAGAAAACACACTTCCTAGGTCTCACAAGTTGACTACCTTTAATAGAAGGGACCCGGAGTGTACCCACTCTACCTGAATGTACTGAGCAGGCAGAAACAATGGAAGAAAGTGGTCCCTCAGGTAACTAGGTCCTATGCCATGAAGAGCATTAAACAACCAGCC